TCCCAGCTACTTGGGAGGCGGAGGCAGGAGACTCGCTTGAGCCCAGGAGTTAGAGGTTGCTGTGAGCTGTGATGCCATAGCACTCTACCCAGGGCGACAGCTTGAGGCTCTGTCTCAAAAAAAAAAAAGAAAAACTCTACTATGGCTCCACGCCTATGGCTCAAGTGGCTAGGGCACCAGCCAAGTACAATTGAGCTGGCGGGTTTGAATCCTACTCAGGCCCGCCAAACAACAATGATGACTACAACCCAAAAAAAAAAAAAAAATAGTGGGGCGTTGTGGTGTGCGCCTGTAATCCCAGCTACTTGGGAGGTGGAGGCAGGAGAATCCCTTGAGCCCAGGACTTGGTGGTTGCTGTGAGCTGTGATGTCATTCTATCCAGGACGACAGCTTGAAGCTCTGTCTCAAAAATAAATAAATAAATAAATAAATAAAAGAAAAAGGAAAAGAAACACTCTATTGAATGATGGGCTTTTGGATTCAGGAAAAAAGATTTTTTATACCCCCAGAGTTTGTTGGCTAATAGATCTCTATTTGAATTTCAGATAATATTGTTGTTGTAAGGAGTGCTCAGACAAGGCTGAGAAGTGCTCAGAACGCTGCTTGGTATGTCCTAGTTATGTTACGTTAAGTTCAGGAAGCCTCTGTCTTCTTACTTGAAGAATGAGGTTAATGTGCCCTATTCAGACTTGTTTTCAGAAACAGATTCTGGCAAGAGGGTAAAGATGGTCCCTCACTCTCCCATTCCAGTTCTCAGTTGTTTGCCTCTTCTGGGACAAGTGACTTTTTGGACCCACAGAACCCTTGGGTGGATGAGGGCTTGAGCTCAGCTGGGTGCTGATAAGGGCTTTCAACCCAGTGGACTGGATGAAAACCTGGACCAGGAATCTAATGGCAGCACATCACATTATACCCCCTGATGCCCAGAGGTCTGGGGGTATAAGTATGAGGAAACTAAACAGAAATTTTTTTTTTTTTTTTTTTTTTGAGAGAAAGTCTCACTTTGTTCCCCTCAGTAGAGTGCGATGGCATCACAGCTGACAGCAACCTCAAACTCTTGGGCTCAAGTGATTGCCTTGCCTCAGCCTCCCAAGTAGCTGGGACTCCAGGTGCCCACCACACCACCTGGCTGTTTTTAGAGACGAGGTCTGGCTCAGGCTGGTCTTGAACCTGTGAGCTCAGGTAATCCACCTGCCTTGGCCTCCCAGAGTGCTAGGATTACAGGCGTGAGCTACCACGCCCAGCCCTAAACAGACATTCTTAAAGAGTTGAGATAATGTATGGGAAAGCTGAGAACAGTCCTGGCTAGGCAGACAGCCATTGAAAAAGAGGAAACTATTATATCATACCTGGACCAGGACTGAATTAATATAGATGAGGATAAAGAAGCCATTGCAAATTATCTCAAAGAGAACTTTTCCTATCCTAATGTTCTACTACTCCGGACTTACAGCTTTTCCAAATTTGAGAACCATTTTTTCTGCATTTATGTGGTCCATAAAATTAGGATGAGGCTTTCTTCTTCGAAAATCCTCTTCAGTAAATGGTACTTCTGTATCATCCTAGAAGAGAGAAAAAGTGCTACTGGGTATATTTGAGCTCTGTAAAACTTCTAAGCTAAAGATGTATTCCTTTAAGTTCAAATAAAGCTTAAAACAACTGCTTATCTTTTTTTTTTTTTTTTTT